ATGACATATATTATTTTAATATTCACATTTATTTTTACCGACATGAAAAACATGCCATGACACATACACAAAATTATATTAAAGAAATGCCTCATTCCCCAATTTTTTAATTGTATATAATTTAGATTTAACGCTCTTCATGAATAAATTAACCATTTCAGAGAATATCTTTGTTGTTGATCTCATGCGTTGCTTTTTTTTTTATTGTCATAATTTATGGCACACCCGAATGAGCGTTTAATTTTTGTTTCTCTTCATCAGAAAAGATCTCTTGGACGTCCGATACAAAACAGATTTTTAAGAGCATTTTTCTGAGTAGTATGGTTGATATTGCCTTAGTTTTGTCTGTCTGGCGTGCGTGAGGTTGTCAGGCAAATTTTACTTTCAATTTTTTGTCATTTGATGTGATTTTCAGCTGGTAAGCTGATTAGTAAGTCATGGTGATAGCTATAGAAGCTAAAATCTGAAGAAACTAGCAATTTCTTTTTTCCAGACTTGTTGTCAACTACTTTAGCTTCGTTCCTGCCATTAGTCAAACGTCATTAGACATTACAAATGCTTAGAAGGCTATAAAGGAATGAAAAGTATGGTATAAAGAACCAGAATAGCATAAGTCGGTTAATCAAATATAAGTCAGGCGTGATTCTGGCATGCTGCTAGATTCAAGTCGAATCCAACTTCATGCCTGACTTACCACAGATTTTTTTTTTGAATAACCAACTTGTGCTATTCGGGGAAACCTTAATGGATTTCATTTTCTAATTAAAGTTGTTTTTGGATACTTAAAGATGCAAATGAGGGATTAGATTGAGAAAATACAAGAGTGTTGATGCCACAATGGCTGAAATTTTGCTTTAGTTCTATTAAATCTTAATATTTAACACTTAAGAAACCTTTAAATTGAACATTTGGGAGAAAAACGAAAAGTTCTCAATAAATCGTTCGGAGCGAGAATCGAACCTGCATCCTATTGATTTTCAGACGTCCACTCTTACCACTGAGCTATCGTGGATTGTTTAAAAGCTTAACAAAGTACCAGCTTAAACTAGTTTTTGTTCAAAATTGTTCAAAACACTTTAAAACTGCTCAATTTCAAAACTTTAGAATTTACATTGTTGCAGCTTAAAACCTCCAAGCTACTCAAAACCAAAAAGTCGCTTTCATCCACCTTAACTCACAAACCGCATTTTACTGATTTAATTCTTCAAGAAACACAAAACAAAAAATTATTATTGTTAACATCATTAAATGTTGTTTATGTTCTGATGTTGGTCCCTTAAATGGATAGACCGAAATAGATAAAATCTTATATAAATTATAGAATTCCATAGAAATTCATTTCTGCTGTTCAGCAATTCAGGAAATATTATGATGAAATCTAAATTAATCTCATGAGTTTTCCATTCTTCAATTTATAGTTTCTATAGAAATCGTTATTTGAATGATGAATAAGAGGTTCTGGATGGATGAAATCCTTTGAGATTATTTCTGGATGATTGCTGGTTGCGATGAATTGAGCACTTTTGCATGATTTTAATTTTTTAATGGTTTATTGTTGTGTAATTGAGAATTTTATATTTTTGAGTTGATTGTTGAATGGCGAATGTTTTTAGAATTGATTAAGCTAGCTTATTGCTTCCTAAAATTGTGAATCTAGCTTATTGTAACCTAACATTGTAAAGCTAGCTTTTATTATTATTTTTATTATTATTATTATTATTATTATTATTTATTATTGTACTTTTGTCAAAGGAAAAAGCCGATTTAAATGCATAACACATCTCTGGCATTTAAAACGGCATAAAAAACCTTTGTAATGAGTGTTCACAATTTGAAAAAATTAAAGGAAATTTTAAAATTCAAAATTTTACTTTTTGACCTCCGATTTGACCTAGTTTTGATAAGTATTATGTACAAACTTTTTTGCACTATCATCGACCCATACCCAACATCAAATCAGTATTCCAAGCAGCAAAAAAGACTTTCAAAAGAAGCAAATTATTGCATTTATTTTAATCTTCAAAAATAACTTCTTTAAAATCTTATTTACATTTTTTTTCCTTCTCGTTTCTGTTTTGTTTGCCTTTTTCCTGTGCCATTCACTTTTGTGGGGAGATTATGACATAATACTAAGAATTTCCTTATTCACATCGTGTTCATTAGCTTGTATTGAATATGACAGACTTAATCTTAATGATTATAAGACATTTAGTGATAATCTTTTTTGGAACATAAATTGTGTACTGTAATGATTATCTTAATTATTAATTCCTAATATAGGAGCTGCAATTTATTTCGATAGATTATCTACCAAGAAAATAATAATAATAAGGAGAAGTGTTTTTGAAGCATTAAAGTATTAGACTAGCAAAATAATAATGAATTCAGATTGAATGGATTAAAGTCGACCTTTTGTGAAATTTTTTTTAAGAGAGATTTTTTTTGGGGATTAAAAAATTGAATGAGATTCAATAAATATGAATTATCATAATCGTTATTGATTATTACAATGTAGTAAGATATTTTATGAATTTCAATGAATGTTGAAGATTATATTTTGAATAGGTTGGTAAGATACCGTTGCTTAGTGACCTTTTGGATTGAGATGGGTCAAATCTACTTTATGTTGGATTGCTTTTACATTGTGTTGGCTCTATGCGAATAGTTTAGTCATGAATTAAGAGATGACTGTAGTTCAAGAAGGCCCATATCATCTACAAAGATTGAAATTATTCTCGAAATTTTGGATTACAGCCCCTTTGAGACTCAACATCACTAGAATCATTTGATTGACTTCAATTAATTTTTTTGCGATTTTTTGCAGACCTTACCAGATTCTCGATAGATTTGAAGCTCTTTCTTCACTATAAAATGCTCTCACTAAGTTCCCCTCCATCATCAATAATCCCCCTTAATTCTCACATAAGTTTCTTGAACTATTTTACCCAAATCCCTTATCTTATCCACATTGATTCAATGATGACGTGCTATGAGTTCATAGTGCTAGAGTATCTATGAAATAGTTTATGATTAAACTAGTTACGTTCGCCACTCTGACAGAATCAATATGGGAATACTTTTTAGGTATTAAAAACATGAATTTACCTCAAAAAGGTGTAAAAGAACTAGATGGAAAATGAAATGTAAACAGACACGAATCAAAAAAGGTAAAAAAAAATAATTGTAAAACGTGATTAATCAAGAAAAAAAAGTCTAATAACTGATTTTATCGCTCATATTTTTTACTTTCATGTAATTTTAAATATATTAATGATACGTTTCTCAATTCGAGCGTAAGAATCCCTTTTGAACCGCAATCACATGAAGAAAGAAGAAATGAAGAACAAGAAGTTGGCCGATTATTGAGCTCTTTTTAAAAGCGATAAATTAAGGAGAGTGAAAAACATCTTTTTTTGGGTTGCCTTCTTGATATTCATTTCAGAAAATTTTGTAATCTCTTTTTAGCATGATTTTGTAGGATTTTTGTGGCTATGTTAAGTTTTAGTGGCATTTTGTCTACTGGGTTTGTATTTGAGGGTTTAGACCAAGAAAAAGGTCCTAATAAGTTCTGTTTCTAGTTCTAATAAGGTAACATTCTAATAATTCGGAAGCTACTAAGTTATACTGATAAGTTTCAAACCCAAACTTATAAGAACGACTTAGTAATTTGCAGGTAGAGACACTAGATTCCTGATCAAAATGTATAACATAAAGGCCTATACCACGACTGATTCAAGAACGGAAACCGTGTGAATTCATTTCTGAAGCCGTATGAAGCCAATGATTTTGAAGACATGTTTAAGGTATCAATGGGAGTTGGGGTATTAACAAGGTTGGTGTCAGGTCTGGGGGCAGGGTGAATATTTTGTGAAGCCATTTATAAAGTTTTGTGGGATTAAGTCTGTCCACGTTTGAGGGGGTGTCTAAAAACATTAAAGTCATAAGAATCTTACAGTTTTTACAAAAAGTTTTCAAATTCAAACCCAAATAGCTTAGTAAAATGCGAAGTCTAATAAACTCAGTAAAATGCGCCGAATGCTCTTCACTTTTCACAATAAAAGAACTCCCAAACTCTCAAAAATCTCCAAACTTATTGTCTTTTTTATTCCAAACCAAACGATAATGATGACGATGAGAGAAGCAGGAGGTGAACGAGACGTCATTAGACCGACACATTTAAGATAGATAAGATTTAAAATGTTTGGTAGAGCGAGAAGAACCCTTAAATTACATTAAAAAAAATATGAGATAATTATTGAAGATTCTATACAATTTCAACCTTCTGCCTTTATCCTCATCAATTCCATTCAATCATTCATTCATTATTCGTGTTCTACTATCCTAAATAAATTGAAAATTAAACCTCTGAGTGAAATGAGATATTTTTATCTAAAGAATATTAAAAGTAGAATCGTGTAACTTCCACGATGAGTTTATGATTTTAAATTAAATTGACCATGAACTCAATGGCAATTTCTTCCAAAAATATTTCACTGTCAATACCAGGAATGATATTCAAGGTAGTGACTCACAAATGATCGATAAAAACAAACATAAATGTAGATTAATGGGCTATAAACTACGATTACAGTTTTCGTACAAAAAAGACAATTTAATAAAAATTCATCAACTAGTAATTTATTTAAAATAGTGTAAAAAACATTTTTTGTGAGTTTTATAGTTTTGGTGGTTTGTCTCTCATTGAAGCATCATTTAGATTGCTTAGTCGGTCGTATGATGGAATGAAGTGTGTTCAATTCCTTTAAAATTATTTACTCGGAATTATTCATTTTTCTGCTTGCTGGTCACTTCATTGCTTACCAAAAACTATTAAAACATACATTCCTGCATGTTTTACAGCACATTTCTCTAGTAAAACTTCCCATCACTTTAAACAAAAATCTATGCAAAAAATCTTCAAGTTTAAAACAAATGTGTATTTATTTCCAATTGATTACGATATTTATATTTGATGTTGGGCAAACCCAGTCATTTGTTGACGAGAAGCTTGGGTATTAAAAGGCTGAACAATTCATCTGCCGATTATCAGGTGAAAATCAGACACTTGATTGTAAGCGATAAAGTAAACAACATGGCATTCCGAATTATTGTTTTAATTAACTTCATTGTTGCATTTGCTAGTGTAAGTATGTAAATACTGGGCCTGGCTTCAAGGTCAACCCGGGCAACCCTATCCTGGACTCAGATAAATTATACATTGAAATTAAAATCTACCAAGGGTGCTCCAGGTAAACCCAGAAAAAACGCTCAGGGTTGGTATTTCGTCGATACTTAGATATCTTATCAGAGGCATAGCCATTATTTTTTTTAAGGGGGGGGGGGGCACTTTTTTTTGTATTTACGGGAAAGGTTAAAAGGACATTTTTAGATTTTTCTCAAAAAACCCTTTCAAACTGAATTTTTTTTCAAAAAGTGGGATTTAACAAAGAAAACCCCTTTTTGGCTACGGCAGGGCTTATTCTAGTATCGAAAGAAATTACAAATTTTTCAATTTTTTAAAAATTTCCAGTATGGCGTTCTTGCTAGTGATTGTGACCAAGCTCCACCAGAAGTTAACGGAAACTTTGATGTAAGTTTGCATAAATTTCAGGAAATTCTTAGAAAACCTTATAAATATTTATGTTTCGTAGGCATGCTGCTCATTTCCAAACATAACCGATCCTGTGATTGACAAAAAAATTCAAGAAATGGTAAAAACTTTGTCGCTAGAAGGAAAAGATAGCTATTCAGTTGTTTGTGTAAGTTCAAAATCATCTGTTTGAAACCTATGAGTACATCAGCAGGCCTAAGACATTTAATTAATTTTTTATTCCCGCAGAAAGTTGCACAAGTCATCTTTAATGACATGAAGCTTGTAAAAGACAACACTGTTGACAAAGATGCTTTCCAGAAAATGGTCGATAGCTATGTCACAAAAGATGTTGAGTACTGGAGGCAGCCATTAAAAGATGCTTATGATCACTGTCAGAAAACTTTGATGAGTGATCTTGCTAAGGTTACAGACTTCTTCTCTAAGCCACCATATAACATCAAAAAAGAAGATTGTGATGTACAATATGTAGCTTTGTTTACTTGCATTCATTTGGATTCATTTGCTGTAAGTTTTTGCATAGTTTAAGTTGACTTTTGAATGAATTTCAATGATTTTTCTTATAGAACTGTCCAACTGCAGCCTGGAAACCAACAAACGAAAAGGTTTGCACAACTATGAAAACTTGGTTTGGAAAATGCGGAACTGATTTCAATGGCATTAAAAAAATCATTAGCGGATAAGTTTTTTGATTGTTTTTTATAAGTTTATAAGAGGAGGAAATAAAGATTGATTTTTAAAGATAATATCAAACTGAGTGTCACTTTAAGTTGCAGATCTATAAAGCACGGAAGTCTCAACTCATCACATCTCAATCACATTTCAATTCAAATTCTCCTATTTATTATCATCAAAAAAAGAAAAGATTAAAAGGAGCTTAAATAGACAGGTATCACGTCTTCGGGGCAAAAGGAAAAAAAATCTTTAATGTATTTCAAATTTAAAATTTTTTTACCTTCCAAATTTAACCTTTTTTTCCGATCAAAATACTATGATTAGCATTAACACACAAAAAAAAAGCAGGAACAACTAAAGAGGTAACACAAGCGAAAGAGGAACAAAAAGTAATTAAATTGAAAATTGATGACCTGAGGACAGTCGGATGGTAGATCAAATTAGGGTTCAGCAATTTAAATTCTCATCGGCAACAAAGTAAATGAGAACCTTTTTTTTGGTGTATTTTAATTTGTTTCAGACGCACCACGTGAATAATTAAGAATTGGAATCAATGATTTGGATGAAAAATGTGATTTTTTGCTAGTTTGATGGACGTTTTGGATGGCTGTTGATATCTAAAATTAAATGAGGTTAGAAGTGTGTCTCATGTACGACAAGTCAGTCTCGAAAGTCCAATTTGATTGACATCATTTACGAATCCGCTCTGCATCTAACCTACAAGATTTCACAGCATGTCCCATCAAATATTGAAATATCTCATCCAATTACTAGTCAAACTGAAAAACTCTAATTCCAAAACAATCGTTAAACCTGTATAAATTACTTCTTACAAAATAACTTGATACTTTTTAATTAATTTTCTCGTATTCATTTACATTTCTAAAGAAGCAGAAGTAAAACCTCCACGGTAAAAAAAGGCAGCAAAAGCGATTACATGTCATTTAAAATTCAAATTTTTTGATAATCTCATGAAATTGGAACAGCTTAGTGCTTAAGCTTTTATATTGTAAAATTTATGAATAGATAAATTTGTGTATTCAAAATGCGAGAGGAGATTTTCATTAATTTAACTTGCGGTTCGAGTCGAATTCGGAGTCTCTTTTCTTCCTAAATCACACTATTTCATTTTTGGATTATTTATGAATTATATTCATTCATTGACATAAAGACCATATATTAGAGCTCAAAAATATATTAGTAGCAACTAATGCCACACAATTCACTAGCAGCTCAGCACAACTCAAAAGCCTAAAATGATGTCTATTAAATTTAAGATTATTGTATTTCCTCGTCTTATTTATCTTTATTTTTATTCTCGTTTCGTTCTTTTCGTTGTAATCTTTCTTTTTAAAAAGAGTTTTGGGCTACCCGAGAAATACAAGTTTAACTTGGGTAGGATTTTTTGATGTTTGCATTCCCATTGCATTAATTAAACGCCATATTAAAATTATTATCTATAAATTCTATACAACAGTTGTGTGCCAAATTTTTGCAGGTGCCACCATTGTGTACCATTATTTGGTACAAACAACAGATGCTTGCCATATTCTTCCACCTACAACAGTTGCTTGCCACATTTTTTACACCTACAACAGTTGCTTGCAACATTTTTTACACACACCACAGTTGCGTGACATATTTTTATGTATGCAACTGTTGCTTGCCATATTTTTTTTGCATCAACAACAGTTACTTGCCATGTTTTTGCATCAACAACAGTTTTTGTCACATTTTTGCACATACAACAGTTGCGTGCCATATATCTTTATACATACAACAGTTGCGTGCCACATTTTCATCTAAACAAAAGTTGCTCATAAAAAACTTACCTCTGTACAACTGTTGCGAGACATTATTCAACGCTTTGCAGTTCGGGTAGCATAATAAATTTTTTTGGCAATAGTTTGATGCTTTTCGGTGTACAAAGTTCACATATATGGCATAATACAATAATAAATAAATCGAAGGAGAGTAAGGGGTAAAAGAAAGAGGCAAAGAAGAGACACATTCAAAGATCCATTGGTCTTTTGTGCATTAATCTTCTTTTGTTGGCTCGCTTCTTAAACCGAAATTAATTCATCAAATTATCTTTATTGTATTATCGACTTGAGATACATATATGTACGTATTTTTTCCGTCTTTTTGAGACCCATTCTTCTCATCTCATTTCTCTTTCTTTTATCTTATTTTTCTTCTCCTTCATAAAGTCATTCTTACCGAAATACGCTAGCTATTTAAAGATTGTTCCTCATTCTTCTTCCTTCTTTTCATTTCTTATTGTTATTCTCGGTAATCTGGCTACATGAAAAGAAGGAATTAAATTTTTTTTATGTGTGTCATTTTATTTTCATCGAGTTTTGATTCTTTTCATGGCTCGTTGGTTTATTTATTTGTATTAAATAATGATGATGACGATGATTAATATTCTTTGTATTTTTATGACTGACTAGATGCGCCAGAGTTGCAGGGGTGTAGGTATGTAGCTGATTTTAATAGCTTTGTCCTTTACTTTTAAAAATAACATAATTAAAAATTCAACATTAATTTAATTTTAATTCAGGTGTTGATTTTCACACAGCGACTAATTAAAGACTTCCAGACACAACGTATAATATGAATAAGCAGACGATACTATTGTAGTAAACTGCTCGACTGTTATATCATAAGTGCCAATAATTCGAAAAGCTATTGATTCTTGTGACCTCATCATGATTATCATTAGAGATCGTCTGACTTCCAAGTCCTTAATATTCTCCCATTTCAATCTCTGAACTGATTTTGCAATACTATGTCCTGCATCCTTCAACATTTGTCCAAAATAGCATTGAAAGAAAATGTTAAGTAAGTTTTTAATCATTTCAGCTATAAACAGATATTTTTCGTTGCTCGCTGTAATTTGGTATGCCAGGAAGCATAGCTGGAATGATGACAAAATGAATCTAATGTGAAATGATAAGCTAAGGACGTCCCATAAGAGATCTCGAAGCTCAAGTAGCTGATTGTGTTCATCAACAAGTGGTTTAATGTCTTGAAGTTTTATTGGAGCTGATCGCTTTGTTGGCTGTTGTTTAATCTTTGATGTTGATGGAATATATTGAGAAGTTGATGCTTCAACATTTTGAACTTCAATATCGATGACAACTACTTTAAGATTCTCAAATTTATATGCCAATATTTTAAATTCCATTGACAGGATCGTCACTAATCCATATTGAAATATTTCCATGACTATATTCGTTATTTGATAAGTAATATGAGCATAATTCAACCATATCACTGACAATGAATGAACGAATACATTTGATGTGTCATACGGAAGTTTCTTTGAGAATTCGAAATTCTTTTGATAAACATGAGCTGCTGTTGCCGCAAGCGATAAAATAATTGTGATGTAAAACATTACCATTGACCCAGTTTTATAAGATATAAATGCTTTGAGTTGAGACTTGATTTTGTAATTGTCTTGATCCTTATCCTCATAAAATTTTGGCATTAAGTTCAAAACCTTCACAACTTTTCGTCGTTTCACAAACAAATTCAAGAATTTCAGCACAGCTGAACCTTGTTGAGAGAATGCAAAAAATCCAAAAATAAAATGTTCAGCATTAAATGGAGTATCAAACATCCATGATCCATAAACAAGTCCAAAAAGCAGCATACTCATCAAATTGAAGACACAAATGAATGATTTTAATAAAATTATTATTTTAATTTTTTTGGTTGGTTGCTCTTTAAAGCTTTTTGTGCTCAATACGAAGTCAAAAAGTATGAAATTCCATAAAAATGTGTTGGCAATTAATAAACTTTTGAACATGACTTTCTAATGCTACTGATTTATTTTAACTGAATTAACTTACTAGATTTTTCGAGTCTATTTCTATGACTTGATTATGAATGGAGTTGAAAATGACATATATGTATTAAATAACCAGCACATAGCACCTATAATTAATTTTAAAATGTCAACAATTAATAAATAATGAGTAAAATTAAAATATTTTATTTTGTCCAACATGAATCGATTGAATTTAAGAATTTTAAAATTTTTTTTCATCCTACAGCTAAGTTAGGTATATCAAATGACAGGGGCGTAGCCAGGAAAGTTTGGATCCCTTAAATTTTTTTGAACCGTTTTGTAGCTTTATGAGTGAGGGGGGGGGGGGGGGGGTTCAGACCCTCCTACCTACGCCTCTGCGCAGTGAATATAAAGCTTTAATTTAAATCGGGTACTAAGACACACTCATTAAGAAGGTGAGGAAGGATGCAATGGTGTGGAACTGAAGAATTCCATTTTGATCATTTTTGATCATTTTTGAACATTTTTGAACATTTTTTTGATTATTTTTGATTATTTTTGATCATTTTTTGATCATTTTTTGATCATTTTTGATCATTTCATCAGTACCTCACCCTTGGAAGGAGGTTGTTCATAAGTGACGGCAACCGTAAAACTAGCTTTCCTCGCCTTATCACAAAATTTGAATGAAATTAAATTTGCTTTGTTTGAACAGTCTTAAAACTCCAGACAACCCCTTTCTCCAAATGTTGGACATCATTTATGAACGTCCCTAATTATCCTAATGAAATACTTGCAGACACAACGTATAATATGAGTACGCTGATTTTAAGATTAATGCAAACTGCTCTATAGTTATATCATAAGTATTTATAATTCGAAAAGCTATTGATTCTTGTGATCTCAAAATGATCATCACAAGCGATCGTCTAACTTCCAAATCCTTAATATTTTCCCATTCTATTCTCTGAACAGCTTTTGCAATACTATATCCTGCATCCATCAGCATTTGTCCAAAGTAGCATTGAAAGAAAATGTTGAATAAATCTTTAATCAACTCTGAAATGTAAAGGAACCGCCCATCATCCCACATTGTAATTTGAAATGCCATGAAGCATAGCTGGAATGACGAAAGAAGGAATCTGATGTGAAATGATGTACAGTGAATGTTCCATAAATTATCTCGAATTTCAAGTAATTGATTGTGTTTATCAATGAGTGGCTTTAAGTCTTCAAATTTTATTAAAGCTGATCTTTTCGTGACTTTTGATGTTGATGGTTCATTGTTATGATTTGATGAGATGTCAAGTTGAAGTGACTTCAAATTCTCAAATTTATTCGCCAAAATTCTAAATTCCATTGACAAAATCACAATAGTTCCATACTGAAACATTTCTGTCACTATATTTGTTGTTTGGTACGAAAAATTAGCTAAATTCATCCATAAAATTGAAATCGACAAAACAATCAAGTTTGATGTGTCAAAAGGAAGTTTATCCGAGAAATCAAAGTTCCCGTCAATAATGTGAACAACAGTAATTCCAAGTGATGCAGCAATTATAATGATAAATAGAACAATTGATCGCAATCTACAAAGTTCATAAACTTTTAGTTTATTTCCAATTTTATAATATTTTTGATCTTCTTTGCTGTAAAATTGTGGCAATGAACTTAAAACTTCAGAAACTTTCCGTCTTTTCATCAAAATTGTAAGGCTTTTTAAAATCGCCGAGCCAAATTGTGAGAATGAAAAGAATCCAAAAATGAAATGCTCGACATTGAATGGAGTGTCGAACATCCATGATCCATAAATGAGTCCAAAAAGCAGCATGTTAAGTATATGAAAATTAAAGAGTAGAAATTTTGATATAAACTTAATTTTTGCTTTGATTGTTGCTTGATCTTTGAAGTTTGATGAACTTAACGCGAAGTCAAACAGAAGAAACTTCCATAGATAAAGATGGATGGTCAATATGTTCTTCATTTTTGAGGAGCCTTGAAATTTTATTTTAAATTTAAACAATTTTCACAACAAACTAGTTCTTTACTATCTCTTTTACAAACATAATAAACACCTAATTATTAATATATTGAAATTTTAATGTCACCAATTTTTAATCAAGTCAGGAAACTTAATTATTTTATTTTCTATGAAAATGTTGTACTAAAAAACACTTTTTGTGGTTGAACCATTTTAATGCTCCTGAAGTATCTCGAAAACTAAAGCAACTCCTTCTAAAATCACGCTCTTTATTTTCACATGTTTCAAGTAATTAAATTTGGTTAGTGCTGCACATTTTTCTCAATTTCATCCTTCAAATGTTCAAATTTGTATGCTAAAATTTCAAATTGAATTTCTAAAGTTGTGATCATTCCATATTGTAATACCTCAACAACTACGCATGCTAATTGAAACAAGCCGTGAACAGTATGAATCCAAACTAAAGTAAGCCAGTATTTAAACTTATTTGACATGTCAGTTATTACAGGCAATTATTACAGTTAAGATTAAAAATAATGAATGTTGTCGATAAAATTTAAACTTATTCAATAAAGGCTTTAAATTGTATTTTTCAGGAAGTTCTTTTCCGTACGTCTGCGGGATTATTTGCAAAATTTCAACAATATACTTTTTGTTATAAACAACAATCACACCACGAAACACTGCAGTGAAGAAATGCATGAAAGAAAGACATCCAATAATAAATTCATTGACTTTAAATGGCTTTTGAAACATCAATGATCCAAAAACTAGTCCAAACATCATCATGTTGATGTTTAGTACCACAAATATGAAAACTTTCAGTCCAAAAATGAATTTTCCTTTAAAACTACTTCTGTCCTTAACTTTTGATGGATTTGTTATGAAATCTAGAAGAAGAAGCTTCATCATCCATGGAAAAATTACTAATAAATTTGATTCCTTCATTCTTGATTTTTTTTTTAATTTTTGTCTCAAATACTTCTAACCAAACTCAATATATCACAAATACTAAGGTTTTATTCATATAAAAAGCCTCAAGCTATGATTTAATATCAATTTTACATTCATTTTTTCTAGTGACCAAAACTCATTCCACAATATTAAATAATTCATTCAAAAATTGTATCTTGGAAATTGTGTGAATTAAGTCGAAAATAGCAAGATATGAAGAAGCACTGGAAAGGAATTCCTAATTCATATTGCTATTTAAAAATTTGAGACATTAAAAAACCAGAGGGAATCGAAACCACACTTTTTAAAGGAATTTTTGTTGTTTTTGGAATCAGCTATAGATAGCCTTGACAGCGCAATGGCCATATTCTATTTATCACCTAATTACTAGACAAGGATTTGAAATTTTTTTATAAATTTTTAATAATCCTGTTAATTAAGACATGACTTTTATTATACCTCACTTTGAAGGATAAATTCAAGAATTTCATATTTTAAACTTGTTGCCAAGCTGTAGATCAGCCTATAACTGCTGTATGTGTAAACTAATGAATAACAATTTGGGTTTGATCCAATGAGTGCGGATGAGAACTAATTTTCGATTTCGAAGGATCTAATTTTCGAGCGCGGGAAAAAAAATTTGAATTTGATTAATACATAAAAGAAACAATTTTGCATCAAAAAACAATTGAAATAAATTTGTTTCTTAATTAAGTCGTTAACGTATTTTTATTTTTCAAAATTTCATATTTTCGAATTTTTTCGAATTTTTTTGAATTTTTCGAAATTAACCAAAATTAACTGACATTTTCTTTGTTCGCACTCATTGGGGTTTGATGAGACTCGAACCCACGACATCAATAAGGGCGATCTATGATAGAGTATCAGAGATCCCAGCCATTCAGTCAACGATGTACTTATCTTACTTTGGCTATCCCTGTAGATATAACGAGTTTCACAGTAAGCCCTATGCTTAGGCTTACATATTTACTAAAGAAATCCGAGCCATGCTTTTGTGGAATTAAAACAAATAGCAAATAATGAACTAGTAGCTTTATAGTGTAGGATTAAAACCATGCGAGTACCACAAAAAAATAAACTTTATTAATTCATTTCCTATCATAAAGATTCAAACAAATAGTGTAATAAGAATAAGTTGACAATATGATTGCTGTTAATTGCTCCAAAGTAATTTCTGAAATATTCATAACAAAAAAACTAGCTGGCACTTGTGATCTTTTAATAATCATCATCAATGCCAATTTTACTGCTTTATCATTAATATTTTCCCATCCACAACGATTAATTGCTTCTGCTATGCTGCTACTTGAATCCTTTAAGACCTGACAATAGTGACATTGAAAATAAATGTTTCTAAAATTTCGAATCAGTCCTGAAATGAAGAATCCTCGATCGTTGCCGCCATATGTGATGCGAACAGCCATGAAAGATAACAAAATTGATGACTGGATAAATGTCATCAAAAATGGGATGTTGAGGATATTCTTCAAATTCTTGTGAATTTTAAATAGCTCAGCGTGCTTGTCTATCAAAGGTTTTAAATCATCTATGGTGAAATGAGTATGGCTGCTCATTTCTTTATTCCAATTTGATGTTGATGGAGCTGAACTAGATGAAGTCTTCTTTAGAACTGATTTGAGAAGCTTCTTTCTTGCAGCAACTTCATCTTTCAAATTCTCAAATTTGTAAGCTAGAATCTTAAATTCAATTGCAAGACTAGCAATTAATGCATATTGTAAGACTTCCGTCACAAGAATTGTAGCCAGAAATGTGAAAAATGTGAGTTGCATCCAAATAAATACAGCAGATCTTAAAATAAGATTTTGAAACAGTAGAACTTGATATTCATTGATATTTCCTGTTATCCAGAAATTGATAGTGATGACAAGTCCACCAAGATATGCGGCAAGAAACAAAACTACAGAATGAAGCTTGTAAAGCATGAAGTTCTTAATGATGCACGCAAATTTGTACTTTTGCTGATACTCAACAGAATATAAAGCTGGAAATTTCTGTAAGATTTGTAAAATCTCACTCCGATTAAAGATAATATTGATGTATCGATATAAAGTCACAGACACTTGAAGAATCGACAAAATGCCACTAATCAGATGTTTAAGGCAAAATGGCTTTTGGAACATAAATGATGCAAAAAACATCATAAAAGCAATCATGTTTTTAATATTTACAATAAATAGTAACTTTCTGAGAATTATCTGAAATCTTGTCTTCAAACTTTGTTGCTCTTGGATGTATGACGCGTCCATGAAGAAGTCGAGAAGAAGAAATTTCCACAGAATTGGTGAAACGATGAGCAATTTTGTCATTTTTATTCCTCCAATACTGGAGCTGTTAAAGTAATTTGTGAACATTTTAAAGTTTTCTTCTAGTTCCTTTTGTTAATTTTGAAGGAATGAAAAAAATAGACAAAAGTTCTCAATATTAGATAGAAATGAAAAAGGTTTAATTTGGGACTATTTAGAAATCATGTCTTTGTGGATTATTGAATCATAAAAATTTACTTATTGTATTGTGTTGGGTGAGATTATATGGATATTGGTGGATTAGAAAAAAATCTTTAACCACCTTTAACTATTAAGATCAATTCGGATCCAGATTTGTATTAGGTCGAATCGCAGCTAATAGGAGTTTGATGAGTAAGGATGTGCCAAAACCACTGCTTTGATGACATTACTGCTTGTAGCCTATAAAGAAAAGCTTCATTTGCTTCATTTCCACTACATATGGTCATCAGCCATCCAAATTTTAAGAAGAAAACGAACCCACAATAGGATCATGTCTTTATTTCATTCTACTGATCTGAACCACTGCTTTGATGACATTACTTCTTGTAGTCTACAAAGGAAGTTTGTGCGCTTCATTTCCAGTGCACATGGTTCGTAAAAGGACAAGCAAATAATTTCTTTTGCCGAGTCTCGAACCCATGATCTCTGTGTCGGTTCTGAAATGATTAGGTACCAAAGTATTAAACCTTTCCGCCCACGAGCCACTTCAGCTCACTATGTTGCTGTCACAAAGTTGATTATAATAAGCGGACATGAAAACTAACCAGCCAGTTCCAAGGCATTTTCAGTTAATCTAATTTCATTTAAAAAGACATGGATGGTGTTTTTGGCTAGGTATTGTCTTTGACTAGGCACAATTATTTGGTCTATACATAGGTATTGCCTTACTTACTCACTTACTTTCTGTAACCGTTTTCCTATGTCGAGCTTAGTTTACAATAAATGGCTTTCAATCTGACTCTGTGGCTGGCTCTGTCCTCTAGTTTGTACAACTTCTCTTCCCGCACGATCAGCAGACATTCTTTCATTACCCTTCTGCGACAAGTAGCTTTAGGTTTTGCCTTAACAAAGCCAAAAGCTACCATGCTCTGGTGAAGGATCTTTCCAAAGGTACTTGCAACTATGATCCTCATAAAAGAATCATATCTTTATAATTTAAAATATTGTTGCAGACCTTATTTATGAATGATACCTTAATAAAAATGGTATAATTGATGTGTTCTTGACTTTATGTGAAGGTAAAGGATGACGATAATAATGAATAATTTAAATATAATTTTTATTAATATTTTAGATCCTTCAATGATATGACAAAAAAAATTGTAAGTGTCAAAATTCAAAAATACTCTAAATTTAACATAAAATTACTAAGCACACAATAATTTCACGTAATAAAAAGTCTAAAATTTATTTTTCAAATTTAAAAAAACCTTTATGTTTCCAATTTTATCGATTTTCTCACATGCCATGCTATTAATTCATCATCTTAAAAAAGTTCACACAGCATAAACATAAATCTCCTTCGTAGAAATTTATTAAAATTATCCACTCATCCATGGATGTAACATGAAAGAGCTAAAGCCATAAAAAAAAAAGATTATTGAACACCACAGCAGTATGTGCTCAATTTAAGAATATATGGGTATATAAAAAAATTAAGGCGCCCCGGGTCTGAATGATTCTTTGAAATAAATAAAAAAAAAATGAAAGAGAAATGAAAAAGGAAGAAGAGATTAAAAAAAGATTTTCGATTGTGTTGTGCCTGCTATTGATTAACAGTATTGAGGCTTTTTTTACTCCATCATCATCATCATCATCATCACCATCAATTGTGCAAAAGGTATTCACTTTCATAATGAATGGGTTAATCATTTTTAATTTAAAAGCAATGTAAAACTCGGATTTCGGGAGTGGAGAACGAGAATGTGATGTGTACAACATGATAACACGATTGTACTTTCCACTCAACTGAGTATTAAATTAAACTTTATTTTCATTTATGTTGCATGTTCACCAGAGGTAAAATTTATCTATTTATCCATCTATGTTGTGGCTGTTTTCATTACGAGGATAAAGAATGGGAAATTATTGAGAGAGGAAATCGCTGTATTTGGTTTTATTTATTGATTATTGAATTTTTACATTAACATGAACAGCTTTTGATTCTTAATTAATGGAATAGCTTTTTTAGGATGGCTACAAACTATTTTAGGGGTCATTCACTTATGTCCAACATTTAGGGGTAACGAGTGTCAAAAATTTGCAACCCATTGTGACAGGTGATGTATGGGGTCAGGAAATTTGTGACATCCAATTTTTTAATCATAAATCAGATCTTGAATTGGACGTCACAAGTAGGGGGGATGGGAGGGAATTGACACCTGTGACAGTTTTTTGGCAGGGGGAGGAGGGTCTAAAGATAAGTTTTTTTGTTGAACGTCATAAGTGAACGGCCCCTTAGTTGATTATGATAAATACATTAATGTTGACATAGAGGTGATTGCTGGACAAATGATGAGAAGTTTAGATATGACAACCAGTGGCGTCTCTACAAAAGACTTATAATGAATTTTTCTTAGAACTTGGTTTTAATACTTATGAAAATTAATATTGACTATTTAACAGAAAAAAGTAAACTTTCGAACAAGCTGTTTTGAGCGGGAATCGAACCCACGTCCTTAAGATTTTCGGTAACATACTCTGACCACTGAGCTATCGGGCGTAGCTAAAGAGCCTTGCAGAATGTCAACTTAATCAATTTTCTATCCTGAGCAGTATCTTTGGTGTTATCGTTGTTGCCAGAAGTCGTAAGACATAAGTTCGAGTCCCGCTCCCCAATAATTAACAATAATTAATCTCCAATCTATAATTGCTAAGCGCTATTGATAATTAAACGTTTAAAAATAAAATAAGAAAATTAGTTCAACCTTTATTCCCACATCTAATTATGCAAAGCTCTTAATCTCCAATGAGCATTCAATAATCAAAGAGAAAATGAGAATACACATAATTTTTAATATTAAAATAAAACCACATGCATGTTTTGACATGCACAATCAGAACAATAATTCACTATAATTTTTATATTAACATTCAAATGCAGAGAATGGATAGTAATCAAAGCAATAAAACTATCCATTGGACATAGTAATTCTATGATACAATCTATGATTTAAAAATTATTTCCTATTAAAGAGCCCAACACAAAAGCAAATGTCACAATTCGTTAAATGTCATTCACATGAATACTTTACATGCATTTAAATGAATATCAGAGAATTATTTAAAATAATCATGAAGATGAATAAGAAGAATTGAATGTAAAGTAATAAAAAGAAGCCTTCCGGGAATTAAATTATGGAATTATTATTGCTTTGCTTTTCAATCATTTCCATATAGCGCTTTTTGTAGTCAATATGTCTGGTTATGAGTTCAGTCATACATGTATCTTTATACTGTGTCTGCTCTTGTTGCTTTAAGCAATGTAAAAAAAAATATTTATTTATTTGTTCATGCCAAAAACAACTTCATGTACTTTATTTTTGTTTCTTGTTGTTTATCTTGCAGCACGTAAGAAATTGAACGAATAATATACCGAAATTGAATAGAGATTGAAATTACTCGGGTTTTGAAATATTGATTTGTGAAACGCTGCCTTTTAAATCTCATTTTCACGCTCAGCCTTATAAGTTTTCTTTTTTGACGCTCAGCTTTATAAGTCTCTTTTTTGACGCTCAGCTTTATAAGTCTCTTTTTTGACGCTCAGCTTTATAAGTCTCTTTTTTGACGCTCAGCCTTATAAGTCTCCCTTTTGACGCTCAGCCTCACAAGTTTCCATTTTGACGCTCAGCCGTATAATTCTCCCTTTTGACGCTCAGCCTCACAAGTTTCCATTTTGACGCTCAGCCTTATAAGTTTCCGTTTTTGATGCTCAGCCTTATAAGTATATCTTTTGACGCTCAGCCTTATAAGTTTCCTTTTGACGCTCAGCCTCACAAGTTTCCCTTTTGACGCTCAGCATCATAAGTTTTCTTTTTGACGCTCAGCCTAATAAGTCTCCTTTTTGACGCCCAGGCTTATAAGTCTCCCTTTTAAAGCCCAGTCTTATAAGTTTCTCTTTTGACGCTTAGCCTTGTAATTTTTCTTTTTGAACCTCAGCATTAGAAGTTTTATTTTTAACGCTCAGCCTTATAAGTCTCATTTTTACGCTCAGCCTTATATATTCTCTTTTTGACGCTCAGCATTATAAATCTCATATAAGATTATTCATGTCGCTCATTTTTGACAATCCTCAGAACATTAAGTATCGATCTGCAGCACCAGAAACCCTAATTGGCAGAGGCGATTCCAGTAAACACGAAAGTAATGTAATTTTTAATACATTTCTCTCTTGCATCCAAGTTGAACGCATTTTTCCCATAAATATCCCATAAACCATAAAATTTATTAAATATAGACAAAGTCGAGAATTTATTTTACAATTGTTTCCATACTTTCGAATAATCTTTCTTCTTTCATTTTATTGCTCTCAGCTCGTTTGTTCGCTTCGAAACAAACAGCACAAAAAAAATAACATGAAACTGAAATTATAAAAAATTTATGGTCTGGCCTGTTGTTTGCCGTTCCTTTTCAGATATTTTTTTTGCCTTCCTTTTTACTACGTTTTTCTTAACTTGCTTTCTTGTTTGTTTGTTTGTTTGTTTGTTTGTTTGTTTGTTTGTTTGTTTGCAAAAAATTTCAAATCTTGCGATCAATTTTTCGACCACTTCTACTGCTCCAATCGAGCTCAAATTTTTAATGCACATGTATTTCCGGTGACAATACAATATTTTAACACTTTGGAAACACAAAAATGCTTAATTATAGTACAATTTATGTAAAACTTTTTTATATGGGAAAAAATCCAATGTCAATGATATAAAATTTTGATTTGTATTAAATATTATACTTGTGATGCTCTAAAGTCATTTATATGATTCATTATAGTTTAATTAATATTACTAATTATTAATTATACCATAAATTTGAGCAGCTAAAGATATTCTGGTAAGACAAAAAAAATTGACATGTAATTTTTTCATGAATATTCGTAAGTGAAAATTTGAATTTTCAAAAAAACCGTTAAGCACAGGTCCGTTACGAATTAATGCAAAATAACTATTAATATGCGATGTGCATTTAGCACACATAGTTTGAGCATAAATTTATGCTGTTTTAAATGTATTGCATTATTTATAACACTTCACCAACTTAATTAAATTGACTTTTCTTTTTATTAACGGTTTGACGTATTTTTGCATAACATATAAATGATATTCATTGAATTTAAATTTGAAAATCCGTTATAAATACGTTACATATAGATTTGATTTGCATCTTTATGTTAAGAATCCACACGTTATGTAGTAGGAATGGTTCGGATAAACACAAAATCTTTACGAGTGATTTTTAATGTACTTTACTAATGAATGCTTTAAAAAAATTAAATTTTATAAAACGAATGAAAAATTTTGAAAGTCGTTACTAATTTCCCATTGAAAACTGGTAATTTATAAACAGTTGAACGCAACGAAGTGAAGTTCAACACACCTGTAACCTATAAACCTACTGTAATCTATAAACAGTTGAACGTAACGAAGTGCAACGAAGTGAAGTTCAACACACCTGTAACCTATAAACCTAATGTAATCTATAAACAGTTGAACGTAACGAAGTGCAACGAAGTGAAGTTCAACACACCTGTAACCTATAAACCTACTGTGATCTATAAACAGTTGAACGTAACGAAGTGCAAAGAAGTGAAGTTCAACACACCTGTAACCTATAAACCTACTCTAATCTATAAACAGTTGAACGTAACGAAGTGCAACGAAGTGGAGTTCAACACACCTGTAACCTATGAACCTACTGTAATCTATAAACAGTTGAACGTAACGAAGTGCAACGAAGTGAAGTTCAACACACCTGTAACCTATAAACCTACTGTAATCTATAAACAGTTGAACGTAACGAAGTGCAACGAAGTGAAGTTCAACACACCTGTAACCTATAAACCTACTGTAATCTATAAACAGTTGAACGTAACGAAGTGCAGCGAAGTGAAGTTCAACACACCTGTAACCTATAAACCTACTGTAATCTATAAACAGTTGAACGTAACGAAGTGCAGCGAAGTGAAGTTCAACACACCTGTAACCTATAAACCTAATGTAATCTATAAACAGTTGAACGTAACGAAGTGCAACGAAGTGAAGTTCAACACACCTGTAACCTATAAACCTACTGTAATCTATAAACAGTTGAACGTAACGAAGTGCAGCGAAGTGAAGTTCAACACACCTGTAACCTATAAACCTAATGTAATCTATAAACAGTTGAACGTAACGAAGTGCAACGAAGTGAAGTTCAACACACCTGTAACCTATAAACCTACTGTGATCTATAAACAGTTGAACGTAACGAAGTGCAACGAAGTGAAGTTCAACACACCTGTAACCTGTAAACCTACTGTGATCTATAAACAGTTGAACGTAACGAAGTGCAACGAAGTGAAGTTCAACACACCTGTAACCTATGAAACTACTGTAATCTATAAACAGTTGAACGTAACGAAGTGCAGCGAAGTGGAGTTCAACACACCTGTAACCTATAAACCCCCTATAATCTTTATTTCTCTATTTCATTAGAATAAGACTAAAAAGTAGAAAATAAAATACTTTATAAAAAAAAAACTTTTTAAAAAACTACGTTTTTCGCGTAGACTAAAAAGTAGAAAATAACTTTTATTCTTGGTTGTAAAGAATTTGGTTTTAAATTTTCAGATTATATTTAATAAATTTTTATATCCTAGTCAATATTGTTCACAAAGTTTCGAATAAGTGCACTTTGATCTTATCGTATAACTCAACAACTTAAAAACGTGGGCGCATTAATTTAAGTTTATCATAAACTATTGATTTCACATAAACTTATTTCTCCTCTTATAATGCGCCCACGTTTTTAAGTTGTTGAGTTATACGATAAGATCAAAGTGCACTTATTCGAAACTTTGTGAACAATATTGACTAGGATATAAAAATTTATTAAATATAATCTGAAAATTTAAAACCAAATTCTTTACAACCAAGAATAAAAGTTATTTTCTACTTTTTAGTCTACGCGAAAAACGTAGTTTTTTAAAAAGTTTTTTTTTTATAAAGTATTTTTTTAACGTTATCTGATTTTGATTTGATAGGTTTTTTTAATGCTCATGCACGATATACAAAAGTTTAATGGTTACATTATTATTTTTTGCCTTCCTAATTCAATTTGGATTACATTCTCATATATATCCATATAAAATTTTGTATGTGCTTATATACCTTAATTATTATTTTCAATTTTTATTTCCATTCTCGATGCTTATATTTTTTTTGTGTTCATTCTTTCAAATCCAATCAATAATCCATAAAATATTGCAATACAAAAATTATTTTTATTTTTTTCGTGTTCATTCCAGAGGGCGAAGTCGACTCGAAATTTGTATGAAGTCGAGTGAACTCAAGTCGACTTTTCCATACAAAATCCGAGTCGACTTCGCCCTCTGGTTCATTCTTTTGAGAATAAGGAAGAAGTAGAATAGCAAATATGGGGAAATGATTAGTCATGTTTTGAAAGGCAATTTAATGTGAAATCGTTGTTCATTAGAATTTTAAGCTATAAACTAATGAGATATTTGAGAAAAGAACAAAAATTGAATTCATTTAATCGGATAATGAATGAATAACAAAATACGAGAGAGACTTCCATGCTGTGAATTGAGACTCTTGGGGATTTTTAATTATGTAGATTAGGTAATTGGATATTGTATGTATGAAATTATGAGGATTGGATTGGTGAAAGAGATTATGGGAGGCAGAAATTAAGTCGGAAAGTTTATGACTGTAAAAATATTTTGTAGAAAGTTTGCAACTTCTTCAGTTGGTCTTGAAGATTCATTGTGACACGAGACAATCCATCCCACGTAACCAAAGTATTCCATATATTTTCCATTGCCATCAATGGAAAAAGTATGTACTATCCATTAACATTCCTTCTTTACATTACATATGTTCAACATAAATGTATGATCCACGTATATACCATATTTAATACATTTATGTATAAAGTGAGTTTAATTTTTTAATTAGAAAAAATAAAGTTGTATAAAATTAAAAAAAAATAAAAAATCAATGAGTATTTATGTAAAACCAGATTAAAAATTCATATTAATTAGTAAAATTTATTTATATTAATAAAATACGTTTATCCTCGACTTTTCCTTTTATTCATTCGTTGATAACCACGGATCCATTGTTTTCACGCCAGACATGTTTAAATGGTTTCTGTCCTGGACAATGATATTTCAAAATATTTATCAATTCTTCATGACTTCTTTCTTGCTTGATTCCGATTCCTTTACTAATTTCTCAAAACCTTCACGTTTTTCACGATTTTGTTCTGCCAATGCACGTCAAAAGTCTAACGCTCAACGACTATATTAATAAAAATAGGAATAATACAGTTCATACAATGATTATTTCATTAAAATGAATAAATAGACTTACCGATGGAAGCGAGATGATGAAAAATATATTAAGAAAATGTCTCGCATATCTGTTTGACGAGTGATGCTCTCTTCTATATGACCAATTCATCTATTTCACGATCGATTGGACAAACTTGTTCATTGCAAACATAAATTCCTTTTTGTCTTGTTCTTTAATTTCGCCTTCAAACGACATCAGCTTCGTTATTTCTCGCTCGACTTAGCACGAACGGTTGCATTTCCCTCAAATTTGTCTGATTCCTTCACATCCATTTTCAAGTAATCAGCATGAACTTTGTGACAACATCGAATCCACTATACTTGGACCTTACTTCCTATTTGGCATATTTAATTTCAGCAACCATTTTGAAAGATTTGTGTGTTTGATTGATTTAAGCTTTTAATGACTTTAAATATGATTGAGAAGATCCAACTTTCCTTTTTCTGATCATTTCAACCTGAGACTAAAATGATGAATTATTCACCATAAAAAGGATCCAACTCAAAATCCAGAACTTTCAATGGATCAAAAGTGGATATGATGTTCTGCTGAATGTTCAGACATCGCTAATGTAATTCTTATTTCCTTTAATCGATCCTTATGCTGATATACTGAGATCCAGTAATTGTCAAATTCCTGAATATACATGCTAAAATTAAAAAAAAAATATTTAAAAATAAGCCTAAGACGTTTTTACATCATTGTAAACATTCCTTCGAAATTTACCTTACCTTTTTTATTGCTTTTTTCACTTTAACTTAATAAATTAAATTAATTTAACACAAAAACAAAACAAGAGTTAAGGACGAATAACTTTAAAAAAAACTTGCAAAAATAGAAAAAGACTACCCCTCATAAATTTAATAAAAAACGACCGTTATAAAAATTTGGATAACACGTGATACATTTATGCATGACATGTGATACATGAATGGATGATTTATATTCCATTGATGTAAGATAACACGAAAATGAACTTTTAAACAATATCTTTAGTATTTTCCGAGACTGCAGTTCAAGATTTAATAAATTAGTGAATATTGGTGTGATATTGGTTAATTTAATACAAAATTTGGCAGAAACTGTAAGTAAGTTATTGAGAAATTGTGAAATTAATCCTAAAAAGTGATAATATATTTAGAAATTATGGGAAAATCACAAAATCTACTTAATCTAAAAAAAGACAGCATTAGAAGAAAGAAACAAAGAAAAATTGCGGAACTTAATCTAAAGATAAAGGAAAATGTTGATAAAATTAGTGGAAACAAACGTTTAATTGCATTAAATAACATCAGTAATGATAAAAATGCTGAAAAAGAGGAAAACATAAATGATTTTTATAGTGATTCAAATGAGGTTTTTGATGATAATATCAATGAAGAACCAGATTTTCTAAATAGAAATGTTTATGATTTAGACCTCAGTAGTTTTTTGAGAGTATGGAGCATAAAATTTAACATTCAAAGAAACGCATTAAGTGACTTATTAAAATATCTTAAAAAAATCGATCCGACACTCCCAATGGATTATAGAACGCTACTTGAAACCCCCAGAGATATTTCATTAACTAAAGTGGAACCCGGAAACTACATTCATTTTTCATTAAAAGATGAAATAAATGAGTTTTTGACCAAGACAAAAAACATTCCACAGAAAATAAATATTAATTTAAATGTTGACGGAGTTCCTATTTACAAAGATACATCAAAGTTTCCAGCATTCTGGTTAATTCAAGGTCAATTTAGTGATTACAAATATAAACCTTTTATTATTGGATGTTATGGAGGTACGACTAAACCAAAATCATTTACTGAATTCTTGAAACCTACCATAGATGAATTTAAAAGTTTAAGGAACTTTATGTTTAAAAACCATACAATTGATGTTAAAATTAATAAAGTTATGCTCGATGCTCCAGCAAAATCAGCTGTTTTAAACATTACTGGACATAATGGCTATTATTCGTGTCCTAGATGTGAAGTAGAAGGCAGATTTATCGAAAACAAAATGTCATTTTATGAATTAAATGCTCCATTAAGAAGTAATAGTTCATTTCGTGAGAGAGAAAACAAGGAGCATCATCATGAAGGATCTAGCATTCTGGAAGAACTAGACTATTTTGATTTAATATTCGATGTAGTAATAGATTACATGCATACTGTATTGTTAGGTGTGATGAAGAAGTTATTGAGAATGTGGTTTATTGATACTGGAAAGTTTAAATTATCAAATTTAGATAAGTCTAAAGTGTCTAAAATTATTCAAACTATTAACAACACGATTCCGACAGAATTTCAACGAAAATTAAGAGATCTAAACTATATTTGCCATTTTAAAGCAACCGAATGTCGTCAATTTTTGCTATTTCATGGAATAGTCGCTTTGAAAGACGTAGTTGATAGAAAAGTTTACCAGCATTTTCTAAAATTTCATATTGCTATAAAAATTTTATGTGACACTAAATTTTATGTTAAGTTTAATCAAATTGCAAAATTACTTCTTGATGAATTTATTTGTGAATTTAAATTGTTGTATGGTGAAAAGGAAATTGTTTATAACGTTCATTTGTTACATCATATATCAGACGAATGCTTTAGGAATGGACCTTTGGATACTTTCTCATGTTTTCCTTTTGAAAATAACATGTCCATGCTAAAAAAGTTAATTCATACAACGAACAATCCTTTACAACAACTTTTTAATCGTATTTATGAACATAATGCATTAGGTGACTTAAAAGTTTTTCTATCTAATGAAAATGATAGTAATAGAAAGAATAATTTATTCGTCAATTGTATTATTGATAATTCTGACAAAAATAGTTATGTATTGCTAAAGACTGGCGAGATTTTTAAGTTTCATTCTTCTATTATAAACGACGGTAGCTTGAAATTGAAAGGTCATATTTATTTGGATACTCAAAATCTATTTGATTTTCCTATAGCGTCTAAAAATATAGATATATTTGGATTGAGTAATGTTAAGACAGTTGATGTCATAATTGATTTAGAAGATTGTGAGAGAAAGATGTTTAGTATAGATACAAATTATGTAAAAGATAATGGACAAAACTTAGTAAAATTATTTTTCCCCATGTAAACTTAGAAACAATAAAGGAAAAAAATGTATTACGTTGTAAAATTCGATGATTCTTGCTCAATTGGAACAATAAAAAAGGACTGGATGATAGATGATAATCGTTGCATTTTTCCTTCTACAAAAAATGTAAAGAAATATTTGAAGATGAAAAGTACTGAAGCAAACAAAGGCAACTGGAAAATCTATAAGTGCACATTAAAATATCCAAAAAAAAATGGAGAGCAAGGTATTCAGGAGCTAGATGATGCAATATTTAAGGAGACATTTTATGTTGAAAATTCAGATACTGATGATCATGAGGCAAAGGCTAAATTAAAAAAATACCTGCATAAGCATCCACTTGCAAAATATGATGATCAATTGGATCTTAATCACTTAATAACAGAAGAAATGGTAAAGTTTTTTTTTATTAATTAATTTACGCACATCAAGCATTATTTTCTATTAAAAAACCAATACATTTTAGACTGAAACAAAAATTTCAGAAATGCACGCAACGTCTTTTGTTGATTCTATGAGCGGAATAGAAGATAGTATGGGTAGCCAAGTGTTCAACATGGAAATTTCAAATCCTGGCTCATCCTTTTCAATTGTGTATGATGCTGATGAATTAAATAATGCACCAGCGGATGAGAATGAAAATGATAAACCATCCAAACAGGTATGAAACATTTTTTTGTTATTTTCATTTTTATAATGTGTTAAATTTTATTATTATTTATCATAAAATAGTTCGTCACTCAAGGAGTTCAGCAAGACACACTAACAGTAATGTGTAATTTCTTAAATCAGATTAGTGTGCAAAACGAAACAATTTTGTCACAGAATGAGGTCATAATAAGAGAACAAGTCTCACTTTCAGCAAAATTGGCAGTAATTGAGAAGCAACTTGAGCATTTGGAAGTAAATACTCGAAGTGATATCGATATCACCGGTTTTTCAATCAAACAAATTGAAAATATTAACGATTTTCAAGCCTTTCTTAAAAAGCTTGACGAGGAAAAAGTTTTTAAAGCAAAATGTGTAAGTATAATAAATTATTGTAAAAAAGTTAAATTTTAAAGAAAAATTATATTTTTAGGTTTTTTGGCTTTTTAAGAACTGTCCAAAAGGTACTTCATTGCATGCTTATAACGGAGTAATAAAAAGAGTAATTCAAAAACTATTCAGTATTGATTTTATTGATATTTGCGGATGGGGATCAGAAAAATCGTCAAAGGATGAGTATGTTAATTCTATTTTTACATTATAAATTTTTAAATTAAATTTTATTTAATACTTTTAGCTCGAACGTGGGTAAAAGTAAGAGAATAATTTTGTCGGAATATGCAACATTTAAGCAATTGCTTTTTGACGTGCTCAATTATAAAAATTTACATGGTGAATTCACGCCAGATGAAGTTGCCAAGGGAGTTAAAGAAAAATTTAAGCGGTATCAAAGAATGAAGGCTCAAAATTCAGTTGCTAATGACAAAAAATCACCAATTGATAAGGCTAAAAATCAACAGCTCAATCATGTATCAGCATAATAAATAAGTAAGTTATTGTTAAAAAACTAGATGAAGCATAAATACAATGGTGCTTTTTTTTATATTTGCAGACTCTAATTATTGTATTTGCTTTGTGGTGACGAGTTCTTGAAGCAAATTAGGAGATGGAATCAATTGGCTGTTAATTTATGGATATTGAGTTGAACTCGTTAAAGCAAATTTAAACTTAACTTGGAGACATTACATTAGTTTTTGCACTTACCTAGTCATTGTCTTATAGTATAAAAAAATAGAAAATTAATTACCAGAGAATTGTAAGAACATTAATTTAGAAAATAAATTTTGAGACTTTTAGTTATTCTTGAAAAATAAAACCACACAAATTCTTTTTCAATAAAAAATTGTATGGTTCTAACAGTATCATACACAAATGTAATACGTAAATTATACACAAAAGTAATACATAAGTTTTACTTTAATGGAACCAAAGTCACAAATAAATATAACACATAAGTGATACATAAGTGTTACTTGAATGTACTACATATGTTGTACTTCAATGTAATACAGAAGTAATGCTTAATATCGTCCCAAATATCGTCCATGTTCATAGGACAATATCATTCCATGGATTATCCATGGATGATACGTGTGGACTTTACATGGATTATTTTCGTGTATTACATGTATCGTCCATTTATGGGATTTTGGTTACGTGGGATAGATGTCATTCATAGCTAACTTTATCGTTATTTTCAATTGAAACAACAACTTTTTTGATCATTTAATGGTTTGCAATAGTTTTCTGCCTTCTTTACATTATATATATACTACAGTTTTTCAACGGGCACATAATGTCTCACCTGTATTTCTGTTCTTTCATCTTTGCCAAATTCAATCAAGAAGAAATCGCGAGATTACAAAGAATCCAAAATCGCTGCATCAAATTAATCTTTGGACTGGATACCTGCCATTCAACTTTAGATCTATTTAAGACATACGTAACAAATACACTTGCCGTCATTGGTATTATATACGCTTCACTCATCACAAACATCCACAAATCACTAGTTCTGAACAAGGACGAATTAATTAAATTTAATGTGTCAAATAGCAACAGACGATCTTCTGGAGACTTGATAGCATCGAGATTCACGAAGAAGCAACAACTAGGCACAGATATCACATATCTCGGTGTTATTCTGTACAATCAGTTGTCAAAGGAACTGAAAGAAATTAAAAACTTAATTAAATTTAAATTAGAAGTGAAAAAATACTTAATTGGCAAGATAGACCTGCTTTTTGCTGCTGATCAATTCCATAATCGTCGTATTTCTTGATGGCTCCTAGGTCACAGTCAATCATTTAGTAATTATTCTTACTCAGGATTAATTAATGTTTTTAGTCAATTAACAGTTAAAACAACAGTTAAAATTCTCAAACTATCACTTGTTATTCTGTGTGCTAAAAACTTAGAACTGAAATTAGTTCAAAATTTCTAAGACCGTTAAAATTCAAATAATTTAAATCGTTATTATTCTTCGAATAGTTTCTTATTCGATTATCATACTCAAATTAATGTATTCGTTTCATATTATCTAAGTCTTATATTGTTATTTCATCCAACTGTATTGCAGTGTCATATCTCTTAAGAGTCTGACAAATAATAAACATAAAAACAAACATCATTGATTTTCTAGTCCCAAAAGACTTCAGACACACTTCAGCTACGTTGATAATTAAAAATTGAGATCAAACCTAACCCCGAAAGGCTCCGAGTGGATATTTGGACGCTAATGTCTAGGTACTAATAAGAAATTAGGTCGACCAGTGACATATTTATCGGAATGATCTCTTGAAATTGTCATTAGTCTAAGTAGATTGTGGTCCATAGGACAGACCGGAATTTCCGAGCGGTCAGCATCTACTCAGAAACATTTAGAGATTTAAGTGTGTCGCCGTTAAGAAAACCTGAATTAAAACCTAGGGTAAGAACTATTCCTAGTACATATAGATCAAAAGTTGTACGATAGTTGAATACTCAAGAGCTCTCTTTGGATATGCAACAGTAAACCCAAGTGTAAAAGCCACACTATAGATCATTCTTAAAAGTATATCTTTAGCTAGTTTCCTTTTGGTACAAACTATAGTATAGCCTAGAACATAAATAATCTTCGTCTCAAGCAATAAAACTTACAAATGTAACATTTGCCTATTGATTAAATTAAAATTCCCGAATCACACAAGTCAATTAATCGATCAGAAATTCAGCGCCACACCAGTGTGACTCTGGATTTAAATCAAAGCCAGCACCATGCTAGAGTCATAGCGGCTTGGTGTAAGATTTCTATTCGATTAACCGACTTGTGCTATTCGGGATTACTTCATCCAATTCAATTCCACGATTCCTCACTCATCAAACTCATATCAAACCTCTTGAATCGACAATTTTCCATTAAAGTAAATCCACATCAATACAAAATAATCCTCAAATCATTTCCGTGGAAGTATTCGTTAGAAAAAATACAAAAAATTAAAAAACAGATTGATCTCCAACCTCCGATAGCTTAAAATAAATGAAGAAACAATTTAAAGTACATAAAAAAAAAAAATCAAATGAACATTTGTACAAAGGCACGTATTGTAAGATCATTGAAGGTGAAAGAGAAGAATTTTAAGATAATGGTAATTTTATTCCATAAAAAATATAAATTTTTTCTCTCTTTCTTCTTTGCCTCCACCATCTCCTCCCCTTTTGACGCGCTTTAAAAAAAGAGAATCGAATTTGTATCGGAAATTGAAATTGGAAGTGGCATGCATAATCGAGTGTGCTGTTGTGTATAAAAAAAGAATATAATCCTTCCTCAATTTGAGTATTTTTGTATTCTTTAGCTTAATCTACCAGCACTTTTTTGTGTTCTTTGCATGCCATGCCTTTATAAAAATTTATTCAGCATGAAGAATAAAAAAATAACATCGAGTGAAGGCAGAGCCAAATGTTGTAGACTCACCACATGTATGAGATTATCATAATTCTCTATAGTTTTTTTTAAGACACTTATAATGCAAAAAAGACATCAGAATTGTGTCTATTATAATAGCATTTACGTTCTCTTCTTTTCTGTAAAAGTTTCTGTTTGCTTGTTTGTTTGTTTGTGCATCTTTGGTGTCTTTGCGACGAAAAAAAAAAAAAAAAACCTTTACCTATTCAGATCAATTGTGATCCAGAGGTGCGCTAGGGCGATTCGCAGCTAATGTGAGTTTAACGAGTAAGGATGCGCCAAATCACTGCACTCAAACCTAGACCTACAATTTATAGTGGAATCCGAACCACTCCTTTGATGACATTTCTGTCTGTAGCCTACAAAGGAAGGCTGTGAGCCTCATTTCCAGTACATATGATTCGAAAAAGGACATGTGAAAAATTTCCCATTACCAGTCTCGAACCCATGATCGCTGTGTCGGTATTGCAATAATTAGGTCCCGAAGTACTAAACCATTCCGCCACCGAGCCACTTCAGCTCAGTCTTTGCGACGAGATTGTGAGAATTTTGTGAGGTTTTCGATTTTCAGTATTATAAAACATTGATTTTGAATAAGTTTGCAGTTATTGTAGTTGAGATTGAGAGCTCGGTCTCTGGTGGGAATCGAACGCAAGTCTTTGCAAAGTAGGATCATAGATATCCAGTCTATTGTCTAACCATTCGCACCACAGAGGCTTAACTCTAGCCATGACATATTCTTCAACATATGTCTCGAAACCCTAGATTCCACTCTGCTGAGAAACCACAATATTCATAAATAATTAAATTCCTATTTTTGCTATGACACCATCATATTCCTCCAAAACATCCGCAACATCCCTCAGAAGAATTCTTTTTAAACAACATGTTTTGTCATTCCTACTAAAAATGAGAATCTACAATACAATATTATTGTTATTCTTTTATTATCTCTTACGAAGAATTGTAAATAAGCTAGCAAAATCTTTTTATGGTCAAGTAAAACTAATATAAATATGAATATTTCATTTTTGTGAGTAATTTCTACAATAACATACTAATGAATCCATTTGGCAAGATAATTATGAACAGAAAAGCTAGCATCGACAACGACGACTGATGAAGAAGTGAATTATCGTCGTTGATGACTTTTCCATAATAGAAGCAATAATTTTTTCGCTTTGCATGTCTAAACTTCAATAAAACAGAATATTATTCTAGAAAATTAGGCTCGACTGCAATGAAATATGAGAAATATGATATTAAAAAAGTTTTTTTATGATCGTTGTAGGATAATCAATGAATCTGCATACGAGAAGCAAATCAATTTTTATGGACATGAATATAGTTTATATCATGTTTCAGTCTCTATTTTTTTATTGATGGAAAAATATCAGAGAAGACTTAATTGATAGGAAATAAAAAGTGTTGAGATATTAATGAAGTTGTATTCTTCATTATCTTTTGACATAAATCTCTTGCAGCTTGTAAAAAAAATATTTTATATCTCAGCTGAAATTAGTCATGGAATTGACAAAAACTTTTTATAATATTTCTAAAATTTTATCATATTTCTTGTCTCCAATGGAGAACATTTAAGAGGATTATCTGACTCGTTCACATTTTTTTTTGTGGTGTAATAAATTTTAGGAGAAACTAGATTTGTGGAATATATAAAAGAATTCAATTTACATTTATTGAGTGGCACGAAATAAATTTATGAAAAATATTTTATATGCAAATATGATTTTTAATTATATAGCTGGCTATCTTGTAAGATAACTGAATGATTATTAAAGGAGATTCTTTTCACGATTTATCATTCTTTTGTTGATCCAAAAAAAATTTTGGAGAATTTTTTGAGTTAAGATGAATTTGAACAATCTTACATACAACTAAGGACACACATAAGCTTTTAACATTAATCAACAGTCAACTTTTAAATAAAACTTTAAAATGAACTTCGATTTTAGATTCTAGAATGGAACCTATCCTTAGTTTGTCCTTAGCTTATTTCTAGCTTGTCCCTAGATTGTC